GGCGGGCTGGCCCCCTGGATGTTTTTTAGCGCGAGGCAGCGGTGTTCGTCGATGGCGGTGGTCTCGTGGAAGAGCCAGGACAGACTGTCGAGCATGATTTCCGCCACCTTGTCTGACGATCCCGAGGCTTGCAAGGACAAGCTTCCAGACATCAGCGCTTGCTGCGATAAGGTCATTGGCAAATTGAATCAGCAGGTAGCGTCCAAGGTCCTCGCCGTCCAAACGAAGCATGGGCGAGTCCTGTGTCGAGAGACCCCTCGGGGCCAATGGCGCAAGGTTTCGCGTGGATACCCTGAAGAAAGTTTTGGACCCGAATGGGCGCCTTTCTTTCCCGCACCAGAAACGCGCGGCGCCGCGCGTCTTGGACCCGATCTCGCGCCCAGGCAGCTGTATATCAGTGCGACGGCTTGTGCCTCCTCTGCGGTCTTCCCGACAGCGTTTGACATCTCGTTTGGCCGCGTTTACACCCAGAGGCCGTTGCAGCACGGAGGAGAGTTTCAGATGATGTTCTTGCTGAACGGTTCGCCGGGGTTCTCGAAACTAATAAAATGTTACTTGTTGTTGATTCGAATTGCGAACGCCCCGAGGGCAGCGATCCCCGTCCCGCTTCCGTTCCTAACCCGATCCTCTAAATTCTTGACGGGGAAATGGTTGATTGGGGTTCCATCGATCTGTCGGCATCTGAAGTGGTTACGGACGGTTCGGCCCTTCGCCGTGCGATTCAGGCATTGTTTACAGGCTGCCCAGTCCTGGGTTTTTGTTGGATCCGAGCGATACCGCCATTGCGTATGCGAGAGGAACGGTGCTTGACGTCCTCTCTCAGACCTTCAAGCTGCTGAACATGTGTTCGCGGCCATGCTCCCAATGTTCCAGGAGCGAGGAGGTGGCCGACATTCCGACTGCATGAGCGTGGTTCGTTTGCGTTGCGTTGCCAGACCGTTTCAAGTTCCTCGGAAGCACAGATATGTTGGTCTTCGACGCGGTGCCTTATGGCGCGAAGAAGGTATCATCCCAGCCGTGCATCGCACCCCTGCGCACCGTAGTCGCGAGGTCTTGGACGCAGTGGGTAGCTGGAGCGCGGATGTCTGGGTAAATCATGCTAGCTTTTTTCACCCTCGTATCCGTATGCATGAAAAAGTGGAGGTGGACAGGAAACGTAAGCGTTGGATTTTGTCGGCGAAGGTTGCTGGCGCGGTGCCGGCCGCATTCTCTGCAGAGGAATTCTATCGTTCGCCGACGGGTCCAATGGCCGAGTTCTTAATATCAGGAGGATGGCGCGCTTGGCGGGAGTTCGGTATTTGGCGTGCGCGTTGCTTGTATTGCCTCCGGCTCTCATCAGACGTCTCACGCGACCCATGTTAGAATGTAAGGGCACCCGCAAAACCTGGCGGGGCTTCTCGGACCGTTCCCTGGGACACACTTTGACCCGCTGCATCGTCGAGAAAGGAGAGCAGCAGCTAATTCTCTTGTTCTGCATCACGCGTGGAGCCTACTCCTCCACGCGGTGCCGCATGCTCGGCGGAGAATATCCCCGGCCCGCTGTCGGGCGCCCCGCAGAAAATACTCTGGGTTGTACTCTCACTACGGTGAAGTACCACGGCCAGTGACAGCACGAGGCGAGGAGTTGCGTTCTTCTGTCGCGTTGCGCAGCAACCCCCGCCTCGAGATGGAAGTTTTCCGGCGCCCACCTCTGGAGTGATATTTGCCCCAGGCATGTTTGCGTTCCAGGCACGAATGGCGGCTCGCGAGGCTGAAGCGGCAGCGGGGACTGCCAACAGGTTCCGATAGAGTAACGCACAGAGCAGCCGCGCTTCGGCATGTCCCCATCGGTTTGGATTCAAATCGTTCAGGCCCCATGGGATCGCGGATGAACATCTACATAGGGCGCGCCCAGGGGAGGGGGGGATGGGCCGGCATGATGCGGCCGCCCGACCGGGGTGGTCAGAACGTATCTCTGAAGCTATGATTCCCCCATTCCCCCCCTTCTCTGGACTGTTTCGGTTAGGGTAATGCTGTGTTCGATGTGCTTCTGCACCGTAGTGGGCTCGCGAACCACTGTGGGTCATGCTTTGGGCCTTTGCGTGGGGCTTCCCGGGTTCGTTGATGTTCGAGGTGGCGCATGTCCTGTGGCATGCGCCTCCATATCGCCCGCAAGATTTGACATCATTCGGGGACGTACCGTCCATGAGCATGTTCATGTCCAGCGCGTTGTATGTTATTATCGCAATGCGTGGTTGATTTCTCATTGTCGTTCGCAACCTCCGCTCCGCAAGCGCGGTGTAGCTCACAACCAAAGTTCTGCAGGCGCAGTTGATTCCTGCCCTCTCGCCAAATCATCCCCCCAGCTCCACCCATGCCAAAACCGTGCGATGACAACGCGCGGCCATCATGGGCGGCAATGCAGGGCGATTCCATGGTGGGGCTGCTGGAGGTGCGACCAGGGGTCGGGCTTTTCGAGAGCTGCCCTCGCGACCTCTTGAAGCGGTGAAGGCCCCTGGTCGAACAGTCAGCGGGCCCAGGCCCGCCAGGACTTGCAAGATGCTTCCTTTTCGGGCGGGCGCCTCCACGCGCAAAAAGGCAAGCGCGCACCGTGCAGAGCAAGCGCGCAGAGGGGTTGGATGCCGTAGGGCCTCGCAGAGTTGACGTGGCCAAGAGATGTTGCACTCGCACCTCCCCGGAGATGCTCTCATGCCCAGCGTGGTTCCCCAGGAGCGTTCGGGACCAGCCGCCATCGATCTGATCAATCAAAACTTGCAACATACAGCGACGTGATCGAATAGATTTGCGCCGCGCCAACCGGAAGAGATGCGCTGCCGATACATGAGAGGAATTGCAAAACGACCAGGTGAAATACGTTGCTAGATTCAAGTCGGGCATGTCCCTCTACAGGGGGAATAGTCAAAATAGTAAAAAATAGTCTGGGGACGATGTTTTATAATTTTTGCGTATGTTTGGGTATTGTTTGAATATTTTTTTATTTTTCGTCCAAAATCCTCCTGTAGGGGGACAGGCCCGACTTAATGCTAGATGCCGTCGTTTCTGCTGCCCACTGCCAGTATGATTCGGGCCCCATGTTGGTAGTTTACTCGGCCTGCCCTGCACGGCGACGAGGTACAACCAAAAAGCGGAAGAATGTAAGTGTGGTTGTTTGCAGATGCGTGTCAAAACGTTGCATTGCCATGACCAACCGTTTGTGTTGTACGCAGCTTTCGTATACTCTGTAGTGTGGGATGATGCGCCCTCTCACTCGCTCTCTCTCTCCCTCATATATATATATATATATGTGTGTATACATATATACATACATACATACATACATCTGCGTGTGTAGATTTGCGACTGGTCTTGCCGAACAGTTCATTAGATTTAGCGCCCACACAGCAACGCCTACGGCGGACACTTTTAGCAGTGTCAAGCAAGCGCAAGCAGGCAGAGCTTAGCGCAGGACCAGTCGCACCCAAAAACGGGGAGACGGGCCGTTGATGCGCCTTGAGTTGCATGAGATCTTGGCTTATCTCCAGCCTTTTCCACCCCTTCGCCACTTGATTTGGAGTAGTCCGCAGTCCAGCGGACTACTTCTGGCGCGCTGCTTGTGCAGGCTACCGCCGTGCAGTGTCAATCCTACTTCATATGTGCCTGTGACGCTTTAGTGTATGAGCCAAGAAGCCGTAATCACGCACGAAGAAATTGAAAGCGGAGCTTGGCCAGCAGGGGGTTCTATCTGTCCACATCATCTCTCCTGATGTTGTTTGGTAAGGGCAGGCACACTGCGGACACGTGCAGAAGATTTTGGGTCTCGCTAGACGCTGATGCATCTGTTTGCTACTGTGCAGTTTCACCCATGCCTCCTCGGCCCGTCATCCTGGAATAGTTGGACGTGTGAGGGTATTGCGCGTGGGCGCGTACAGGTCTCGTGCCCCTGCCACTGCTTCAAGCGAAGCCTTGATTCATGGTAGTTTCTTCGTTTGAGAGCTGGCCGTGCCAACCGCAATGTTGTGTTCCAACAAGTACGTGTCATGTGAGATGTCGCCTCCGTATCCAAGGAACTCTCTCAGTATCATGGCGCCAACATCGAAGAGCGGATTTCGTTCGGAAAACGATAATGTGGGCCCCGGGTATCCTGGAGAATTTCGTTCCGGATTTCGAGGTACATTTCGTTTGGAATCTTGTTGGCCAGGAATGAAGACCAAAACAATTCACGCGACATTCAATTCGCTTCTCGCTCGCAGCTTCGGGCAAACATCCACCCAGAGGTCCGCTGCAGCACGTTTGCAAGGTTGGTGCAATGACCAGTACATTTCGGGGGCGGCAAAGAGGGGGGTGATGACTAGGGGGGGTGGATATCATGGCGGGGGCCATGCTATTTCCCAGATTTCATGGCGCCTCTTCTTATCTCATTACGTCCCTGGCCCCGCCGCTGGGCCGCGCACATGCCGCCGGTCATGATTTGCACCCGCCCCCCTCTTGGACACCCCCCTCTTGGCCGCTCCCGAACGGAGCCTGGTCGTCCCACCGGTGGACTGGGGCCCCGAGCTGGGCCCTGCGGAGGCTGGGGGAATCGGCTGCGCGTAATAGTGGCCTTTCGTCAGAAGGACCTTTCTCGGAGCTTGATGGATCTTCTACCCGGACACATCGATTAGCATAATGGCCGTTCTCGTTTCGCGAGAGGGCGTCGTGGCCGTCATTTGTTGCGGGTCCAGGTGTCGGTTTCGGTCCTAGGCCGTTTTCTTTACAGGGAGGTTTACTGAAGGGAGGTGTGTCCACCGACGATTTCGGTGCGGGCACACTGGGGTCCCCCGATCGCTGAAATCTATGCCACGGCAACGGTTTGTGCGCTCGGGTTTGGCACCCCCGCGCCCACCCGAAGCCGCGCACCAAGGGTCACAGTTGCCTATGGTCACTCTTTGCATGCAGCCGAGGAGATTGGAGCAGGCGGGCCGTCTCGCCGACTCCCCCTCGGGAGGGAAGAGGGAAGAGGCGTCTGGGCCCCCCCCTCACAGGTTCGCCTCGGAGGCCACCTACGACGTGAGCGGGCCGAAGGAGAGGAGGGAGTCGGGCCTGTACTGGGACCTGGATGACACCATGATCGAGGCTTCCAGGGGCCTCGTCGAGGAGAGAAGGCCGAGGAGGACGGAGGGCTGCTTTTGAAGCCGAGGGGCCTTTTTGGGCCTCCTCGGGGAGGGGCCTCATCGCCATCGCCACGGCTGGACCCGCCCCGACGATCCTGGTCGGATCGCGCCTCTCGGGAGAGGTCGGGGGGTTCGAGGGGGGCGGGGGTCGGGATGCTGATCGGGGGTCCCCAAACGGGGTGGTGACCACACCGTGCGGTGAGTCGGTGGGGATTCGGGGTCACCGCACAGTTTTGGGACTCGGGTCGTTCTCCAAGGACATCTCGGGCGACCCGCGCATCCGAGGTCCCAAAACCGTGCGTTTGACGGACCGTGCGGTGATGTCTTGGGGGATTTCGAGGTCACCGCACGGTTTGTCATCGCACCGTTTCGGGACTCCAAAGTCGAGGACGCGGATGAGGAGGGATGTCACCGCCCACCAAACCACCCCAACCCAACCCGAAGGCGCCGATCTGCCCTCCATCTCCAGTGGGAGGGTGAGTCGGAGAGCATGGACGAGTCCATACGCGTGTGAAGCCCGTACCCCCCCCAAAAAAAACAACGAAATTCGGGTCTTGGGGTTGGGTCGGGGGTGGTCTGGCAGGTCGTCAGGGCTGCGACGAGCCGCCCGCAGGGGCGCGGAGGCGGTCGCGCTCCTCGCGGCGCGGTCTGGGCGAAGGGCGCGGGCGGGGGCCCGGAGGGATGTTTTTTTTCGCGCGCCGTGGGGCGCGATGCGCAAGGGCGGGTGAGCGGATCGGGGAGGGCGGAGGTCGGCGGATCAGGACGGGGCCGTTTCCAGGGGGGGGGGGGGGGGCATGCCAAGAAGCACCCCGCTCGCCACCAGGGTGCCCTGGGTTTCTTGGGCTTCGAGGGTTCTGCCACGGAGAGCAGAGCGTTCCCGCGCCAAGAGTCCACGGACGTTCTGGGGTCTCAGGGTTGGCTGTCTTGTGGGAGGTTTCTTGTGGATTGGCCTCCAGTGTGCAGTCAAACCGCATGGTAAGGCCAGTGCGCAGCCTTCCCAATGGCATCCTTGCATCCTTGCCTCCTCGGTCCAGCCTTCGCCACCGTTGTTGGCCGCACCCCGCTCGAGCAGCATGGACATGGGCGTCCAAGGCCCTTGCATCCTCATCGCGCATCCTTGTCATACGGGCCGACTGTAATCAGGTTACGGATGACGAGCAAGCGCAATCATGAGTAGGAACGGACGGGAGGGCCGACTTGGGTGATGGTTGGCGTCATTCTGCCTCTCCCTCCAGCCCGTCTTCCTCCCCACTCCCTCCGCTGTCGGTGATCCCAGATCGTGTCACCGCCGATGCGGCACCGCCCTTCTCTGAGCGCTCGAGCGTCTTCGACAAAACCCTTTGGAGGTAGATCCACGGGCCTCTGGGAGTATCGCCCCTGTGAGTCATTGGTGTTATTGAATCGCTTCGCTCATTCCGCCGGCCCGTGATATGGCATCGCTGGTTTTTGTCTGTGTGTTCGTTGCCCATGTTGCGCTCTTGGGGGCGGGTGTCGTTCGGACGCGTTGCATGGGGAGTTTTGATGGTGAAGCAGTTCCCTGGGGGTCGTCTCTCGATGGGGCGAAATAGAGTCGTCGTCAAGATGCTTCTTTGGGGGGCCTCTTGGGGTCTGTTGAGAGGCCGTTCGGGGGCGCCTGGGAGACATGTTTGAAGCCTTCTGGGGCTTCTTTTGGGCCTCCTGGGAGTCTCCTGGGGCCTCTTGGCGACATCTTGGGGCCTCTTGGAGGCCTCTTGGGGCCTCTTTGGGACCTCCTGGGCGCCTTCTGGGACGGAGGGCTCCATTTTTGAGTTCTCGGTATCCCTCCTGAGTCCCTCTTGGGCCCGTCTTGGGGCCTCTTGGTCCGTCTTGGGCGGCACTTGGGCCGTCTTGAGGGCTCTCTTGGGTCGTTTCGGCGCCGTCTTGGGAGCTTCGTGGGCCGTCTTGGAGCGGTCTTGGGGGCCTCTTGGGCCGTCTTGGAGCGTCCGGAAGCCGAAAAAGCCAGAACACAAAAAACATCGAAAAAACCAATGAAAATCAACGATTTTGGCCTCTTGGGGCTCTCTTCGGAGGCCTCTTGGAAGGCTCTTGGGGCGTCTTGGAGGCCTCTTGGGCTGTCTTGGGGGCCTTTTGGGCCGTCTTGGGGTCATCTTCGGCGTCTTCGAGCGCTCTTTGGGCGTCTCGGGGGCCTCTTGGGCAGTCTTGGGGGCCTCTTGGGGCACTCTGAGCGCGCTCTGGGGAGCCTGAGAGGCCGCACCCAGAAGGAAAACCATCTCTGAGTAGACTTGGTCGGGCGGCGGTCGGGCGGCGACCGGGCGTTGGTCGGGGTACTTTTCGCCGGGGGGCCCCCAGGGGCCGCCCCGCGCGCGCGAACTAGAAATACTGTTAATACTGTTAACCAGTTACCGGAGATCTTAGCACGCCCTGGCCCGTTGGGCCGGCGAATTGTATACCTCCTCCTCTCTTCGGTGGGCCCGAGAAGGCGGGAAAGGAAGCGGAGCAAGATGCGGCCGGTTTCGGTGGCGTTGCTGGGCACTCCCACCAGTGCTTGGCACGCTCGGCACTTCCGGTTGCTTGGCCGGCGGGGTGCACCTGGGTCGCCAACCCCCTTTTTGTTTTCACACACTGTTTGTACCCATCTACCGCAGGCCTAGAGTTTGACACCACCACCACCACCAACATCGGCGGTGTGCCTCCACCGAGGGAAGAGGATCCAGATCTCGGTGATGGTGGTAATGTTCTAACTTCCAGGGTGACCGACACATTGCCACCAGCACCGAAATCCAGGATCATCTCACACCTGTGGAGGCAGCCCCCTACGTTGGTGTTGGTGCCAATTTCCAGGCCTACGAATCCACCCTCTCCCTCCTTTACATTGTCAGGAGGGAAAAAACACATACACTACTAATTGTCGATTCCCACGAAGGTATGGGAAAAGATGGGAAGTGGGGGGAAAACAGAAACCCCACAAATACAGTAATATACGGTGAATCCTGGGATTTGTGTTCATTTATTTGTGTGTCCTTGGGCCCCTTGGATCTATGGCACGTCGTCCAGCCCGCCTCGGATCCACAGAGGTCGGCGAGCATCTTCGTTTTTTACAAGGGCCCCAGCATCCCACAGCTTGGGGAGCTGGGGCGTCTGTATCCCCATGAGCTCCGTGGCCGACCAGACGACGTGGCGCGCACCTCGAGGCCCCCCACGATGCATCTTCCGGGGGCCTGGCGTGTCGTGCGAGCAGCGGCCATGTCCTCCTTCCGTGCTGGGTCCGACGCGCATCCGACCTGGGCCCTGTGCCGCTTCGACACGGGCTCGGCGCGGGCGGCGGCGCGGCGGGGGCAGGCACGGCCTCGCGCAGGTGCGGCAGGACCGCCCCTTCTCCCCCTGGGGGGGCACAGGATTTCTGAGGGGGGGGCGGGGTTCACTTCGCTCGGGAGCTCCCGAACGAAGTGAACCCCGCCCTCCCCCTCCGAAATCGTGGGGGGTGGGGGCAGGGGTCGCATGTGGCCCCTCGCCCCCGTCCACCGGCGCCTCGGACCTGTCGACCCCTCCCACAGGACCAGCTTCTCGTCCTAAGGTTAGGTCGGGCATGTCCCCCTACAGGCCGATGTTGGACGATAGAAGACATACATAAAAAAAACAAAGTATACAACAATATGGTAAAAAATAGTACCCATACTGTTTTACTATTCCGCCACATCCTGAGTGGGGTTTTTGTTCCCCACATCCTGAGAGGGGTTCTTGTTGTCCTAGACCACCCTCTCCTTCGCCTTCTCCTTCCTCTTCTTCTCTGCTTCCTTCACCCATACCATACCGTACCGGCCATACCCTACCAATACCATACGTACCATACAATTTACGTACTATGCTATACCATGCCCTTCCCTACCATACCATACGTACTATACTATACCATACCTGCCATACCACACCCATCGTTTTACCTGTCATTCCTTACCATACCATACGTGTTATAGTCGACCATACCTGCCATACCATACGTTCGTATTCGCAAGCCTACTAGGTATAAGGTTTCGTGCCCCTCCCACCCCTCCAGGGAGGCCCCACCTAAGCGAGGAGGGTATCCCGAAACCATCTTATTTACAAGGTTTCGTGCCCCTCCCAGCCCTCTAGGGAGGCAACGCCTGAGCGTGGAGGGCATCCCCAAAGCCATACTATTTACAAGGGTTCGTGCCCCTCCCACCCGTCCAGGGAGGCCCCTCCTGAGCGAGGAGGGTATCCCCAAACCATACTATTTACAAGGTTTCGTGCCCCTCCCACCCGTCCAGGGAGGCCCCTCCTGAGCGAGGAGGGTATCCCCAAACCATAATATTTACAACGTGTCTTGCCCCTCCCGGCCCTATAGGGAGGACCTGTCTGAGCAAGGAGGGCATGCCAAAACTTTGGGCCAAAACCATATTTTATACAAGGTGTCGTGCCCCTCCCACCCGTCCAGGGAGGCCCCAGTTGAGCGAGGAGGGTCTCCCCGAACCATACTATTTACAAGGTTTCGTGCAGCTCCCACCTCTCCAGGGAGGCCCCGCCTGAGCGAGGAGGGTCCCCCAAAACCATACTATTTACAAGGTATCGTGCCCCCCCCCGCCCTCCAGGGCGGCCCCGCCTGAGCGAGGAGGGTATGCCAAAACCATACTATTTGCAAGGTTTCGCGCCTCTCCCACCCCTCCAGGCAGGCTCCGCCTGAGCGAGGAGGCTATCCCAAAACAACTTCATGTATAGTGTTTGGTGCTCCTCCCACCCCTCCAGGCAGGCCCCACCTGAGCGAGCAGGCTATCTCAAGCCCATCCTATTTTCAAGTTGTTGTGCCCTCCCAGGACCTCTCGGGAGGCACCGCCTGAGCGAGGAGGGTATCCAAAACCATCTCATTTACAAGGTTATGTGCCCCTCCCACCTCTCCAGGGAGTCCCCGCCTGAGCGAGGAGGGTATGCCAAATCCATACTATTTACAAGGTTTCGTGCCCCTCCCACCCGTCCAGGGAGGCCCCTCCTGAGCGAGGAGGGTATCCCAAAACCATTTTATTTGAAGGGTTTGGTGCCCCTCCTACCCCTCCAGGGAGGCTCCGCCTGAGCGAGGAGGGTCTCCCACAACCATCTTATTTACAAGGTGTCGTGCCCCCCCCCCCCCCCCTCCAGGCAGGCCCCGCCTGAGCGAACAGGCTATCTCAATTCCATACTATTTACACGGTTTCGTGCCCCTCCAGCACCTCTCGGGAGGTACCGCTTGAGCGAGGAGGGTATCCTAAACCATTTCATTTTCAAGGTGTCGTGCCCCTCCCACCCCTCGAGGGAGGCCCCACCTGAGCGAGCAGCGTACCCCAAAGCCATACTATTTACAAGGTTTCGTGCCCCTTTCCACCCCTCCAGACAGGCCCCGCTTGAGCGAGGAGGGTCTCCCACAACCCATATTATTTACAAGGATTGAGGCCCCGTCTGAGCGAGCATGTTATGCCAAAACCGCATATTTACACTGCTTCGTGCCCCTTCCACTCCTCCAGGAAGGCCCCGCCCGAGCGAGGAGGACATCCCAACACCGTACTATTTACCAGGTGCCGTAGCCCTCCCACCCCTCCAGGGAGGCCCCGCTTGAGCGAGGAGGGTTTCCCAAAACCATACTACTTACACGGTGCCGTGCCCCTCCCGTGCGAGGAGGAGGGGGAGTTCGGCGATGAGGAAGGGTTGATGGTGATGGCGGTGGAGATGATCACGATGAAGAGGATGCTGACGCTGACGATGATGATGCTGATGATGATGAAGATGATGCTGATGATAATGATGATGATGCTGATGATGATGATGATGATGATGGTGATGGTGATGGTGATGATGATGATGATGATGATGCTGATGATGATGCTGATGATGATGCTGATGCTGATGCTGATGATGCTGATGCTGATGATGATGATGATGATGTTTAGATGATGACGATGATGATGATGGTGGTGATGATGATGATGATGATGATGATGATGATGATGATGATGATGGTGGTGGTGGTGGTGGTGGTGGTTGTGATGATGATGATGATGATGATGATTGATGATGATGATGATGATGATGATGATGATGATGATGAGATGATGATGATGATGATGCTGAGGCTGATGCTGATGATGATGATGATGATGATGAGGAGGAGGAGGAGGAGGAGGAGGAGGAGGAGGAGGAGGAGGAGGAGGAGGAGGAGGAGAGGAGGAGGGGGGGGGAGGTGGAGGCGGAGGCGGAGGCGGAGACGGAGGAGGAGGAGGAAGAAGAGGAGGAGGAAGGAGGAAGGAGAGGAGGAGGAGGAGGAGGAGGAGGAGGAGGGAGAGGGGGAGGATGGGGGAGGGAGGAGGAGGAGGAGGAGGAGGAGGAGGAGGAGGAGGAGGAGGAGGAGGAGGAGGAGGAGGAGGAGGCGGAGGAGGAGGAGGAGGAGGAGGAGGAGAGGAGGAGGAGGAGGAGGAGGAGGAGGGGAGGAGGAGGAGGAGGAGGAGGAGGAGGAGGAGGAGGAGGAGGAGGAGGAGGAGGAGGAGGAGGAGGAGGAGGAGGAGAGGGGAGAGGGAAGGGGAGGAGGTGGAGGAGGAGGAGGAGGAGGAGGAGGAGGAGGAGAGAGGCGGAGAGGAGGAGGAGGAGGAGGAGGGAAGGACGGAGGAGGAGGAGGATTAGGAGGAGGGGCGCAGGGAGGAGGAGGAGGGTGGAGGAGGAGGGGGAGGAGGAAGTGGAGGAGGCGGTGGAGGAGGAGGAGGAGGAGGAGGTGGAGGAGAAGGCGCTGTCCGCCGGTCCAGGCCAGAGGATGCCCTCCTGGCTGGGCCGGGCTGGTCGGGCAGGAAGGCGGGCGGGCAGTCCGGGGGAGGAGCGGGGCCAGGGCACAGGAGTTGGAGGAGGAGGCGTCCTACTTGTTCCTGCCTCCGCCTGCCCTTCCCTCCTTCCCCCTATCCGCGCGTGGGCCCCCCAGCGGCGCCTCTGGCGCCGCCCCTGGCGCGCTCCGCGCGCCAGGGAGGAGGGTCCAGCGCGACGTCAAGGAATCCGCATGGTGCGCCAAACCCTGCGAGACCCCCCGACGCTTTCCCGCGTCTTGGCGCCTCCTGTTCCTGCTCCCCCCCCTCCCGCTCCCCTCTCTCTCTCTCGCTCGCCCTCCCTCGCCCCCTCTCCCTCCTCCCCCTCCTCCCTCCCCTCCCTCCCCTCCCTCTCCCTCCGCGCCTCCCTCATCCCCCATCTCCCTCTCCACCTCTCCTCGTGCCCTTCCCCCCCCCTCCTCGCCTGTTCCGTGCCCAGAGCTCTGACGCCGTGGCCTGTTCCACAGCGTGGACCCCGCAGAGGCCTGGACCCCTCCCCCCGGGGCCGTTTTTTTCCGCCTTGGGCCGCTCTTTGAAAGTCCAGGGGCCAGGCGAGGGCCCTTGGAGGCCGCAAGTTACAAGAAATCAGTAGTTGTTTGTTTTTCTGTTGTTCCCGATCTGATTCTCAAAGAACAAGACAAGAACACATGAAGCCTCCAAGCCCCCCTGGAGGCCGCCATGCAGCAGCAGCAGCAGGGGGATGTCGACGACCCGACCCTGGCGTCCATGCTCATCAGGCCCAGCGGCGCGCGGCACGGCCACGGCAGCATGCGCCACAGCGGCTACGGTGGCTATAAGGCGGGGGTGCCCAGAAGTCTGTGCGCATCGGCGGGGCTTGACGTCTCCACCACGTCTTCTGGTCGGCCAGTGTCGAGCGGGGTTAGGACGGGGATCATCGTTCCAGAGCGTTCCGGAGCGCTCCCAAGTCGTTCCGCAACGCTTTGTAAAGGCCGCGGCGTCCAAAAAACAGGGTGGAGGAGAAGGGTGTAGAGGAGTAGAAGGATGTTGAAGAGGAGGGGGAGGAGGAGGAGGACGAGGAGGAGGAGCAGGAGGAGGAGGAGGGGAAGGAGGAGGAGGAGGAGGGAAGAGGGGGAAGAGGGGGGGAGGAGGAGGGCAGGAGGAGGAGGAGAGGGTAGGAGGGGGAGGAGGAGGAGAGAGCGTGGAGGAGGAGGAGGAGGACGAGGAGGAGGACAAGGAGGAGGTGGAGGAGGAGGAGCAGGAGCAGGAGGAGGAGGGGGAGGAGGGGGAGGAGGAGGAGGAGGAGGAGGAGGAGGAGGAGGAGGAGGAGGTGCAGGAAGAGGAGGATGAGTAGGAGGGGGAGGGGCAGGAGCAGCAGGAGGAGGAGGAATAATGAGAAAACCAGAAGAGGAAGAGGAGATGGAGGGGGTGATGATGAATATGTTGATGCTGATGATGATGGTGATCATGATGATGCTGCTGATGCTGATGATAATGCTGATGATGCTGCTGGTGATGATGCAGATTATGGTGCTGATGATGGTGATGGTAATGCTGATGCTGATGATGACGATGATGATGCTGATGCTGATGCGGAGAATGATGATGGTGATGGTGATGGTCATGATGACGATGATGATGATGATGATGATGATGATGCTGCTGCTGTTGCTGCTGATGATGATGATGATGGTAACAGTGATGATACTGATGATGCTGATGCTGATGATGATGATGATTATTATGCTTATGATGACGATGATGATGATGATGATGCTGATGTTGATGCTAATGATGATGATGATGATGATGATGATGCTGCTGCTCATGCTGATGCTGATGACGATGATGATGATGATGGTGGTGGTGATGATGCTGCGGCTGCTGGTGACAATGGTGATGGTGATGATGGTGATGGTGATGCTGATGATAATGATGACGATGATGACGATGATGATGATGCTGATGATGGTCATGATGATGCTGCTGATGCTGCTCATGATGATGATGATGATGATGATGATGATGATGATGATGATGATGATGATGATGATGATGATGATGATGATGATGATGATGGTGCTGGTGATGCTGATGATGATGATACTGAGAGGGATGAGGTGAGGAGGAGGAGGCGGAGGAGGAGGAGGAGAAGGAGCGGCAGGAGCAGGAGCAGGAGGATGGGGGAGGAGGAGGATTGGGAGGAGGAGGCAGCAGGAGGAGGAGGAGGAGGAGGGGGAGGAGGAGGAGAAGGACGAAAGGCGAAGGCGGAGGAGAAAGGAGCAAAGGAGTAAGGGAGAGAGGAGGAGGAGGAGGAGGAGGAGGAGGAGGAGGAGCAGGACGAGGACGATGAGGAGGAATGGGAGGAGGGGGAGGAGGAGGAGGAGGAGGAGGAGGAGGAGGATCGAGGGGGAGGAGGAGGAGGATGAGGATCGAGGAGGAAGAGGAGGAATAGGAGGAGGAGGAGGTGGAGGAGGATTAGCAGGAGAAGGGGGAGGGGATGATTATGATTCAATGCTGATGATGATGATGATGATGATGATGCGGACGATTATGCTGCTCATCACGATGCTGATGATGATGTTGATAGTGATGATGGTGATGATGATGCTGATGATGATGATGGTCAGTGTGATGATGAGGATGCTGATGATGATGAAGATGGTACTGATTGCGATGATGATAGTGCTGGTGATGATGATGCTGATGCTGATGCTGCTGACGATGATGCTGCTGATGGTGGTGGTGGTGCTGTTGCTGATGCTGATGCTGACGCGGATGATGATGATGATGATGATGATGATGATGATGATGATGATGATGATGATGATGATGTTGATGATGATGATATTGATGATGATGATACTAATGATGATCATGATGATGATGATGATGATGATAATGATGATGCTGATGATGATGATGATGACGATGGCGATGACGATGATGAGGCGGATGATGATGTTGTTGATGATGATGAGGACGGTAATGGTGATGGTGATGATGTTGATGATGTTGATGATGGTGGTGATGATGCTGCTGGTGCTGATGATGACGATGCGGATGACTTTGATGGCGATGATGCTGATGCTGATGATGATGCTGATTATGATGATGCTGATGTCGGTAACCATTATGATGCTGATGATGATGGTAAGGCCGCTGATACTGATGATGGTGATGCCGATGTTGATGATGATGATGATGATGATGATGATGATGATGATGATGCTGATGCTGATGATGCTGATGATGGTGATGATGCTGCTGATGTTGATGCCGTTGATGATGCCTGTGCCGCTGATGATGATGCTGATGATGATGATGATGCTGATGATCATGGTGAGACTGATGATTAGACTGATGATGATGACGATGATGATGCTGATGATGAGGATGATGATGATGATGAAGATGATGATGCTGATGGTGATGATGCTGATGATGATGCTGATGATGATGATGATGATGCTGATGATGATGATGATGCGGGTGATGATGATTGGAGCAGCAGCGCGCCTCGACAGGGGCGGCTATTTTCGGGCCTGTGAAGGGCCGCGGCCGCAGCTTGCAGTTCCTTTTGGCTGAGGTCGAGAAGCTCGACCCGATGTTCGCAGCAAATTCTTTGCCTCTGCAGATGTGGGTCAGAGCAGTATTTGATTCGTGGGCCACGGATGCCCAGATGAAGCACGCCTTCGACTATGCGGTCAAGGCTAGGCCTCAAGGGTGGAGGACGGTCCTAGGCCCAGCAGGAGCGGTAGTGCTCACCCTTCGAAGGCTCGAGTGGGAAGCTGTCTCCTGGGATGTTTGGGTCAACACGGAGGCCTAGGACAGTGCAAACCCTAGCGGATGAAGCGACTAGACGGCTGCTACGTATACGTGCGGGAGCTCATTACAATGCCTCTTGGGAGCCATATGTGGAGCCTCTGCGTGATGAACTTGCTAGGTTAAGAGGTGCTGGAGATTTTCTTGGGGCCAGTCTGCTTATCGCTCAGGTTTCTGGAGGTCTCTGGACTCAGGCTGATGTGTTCAGGAAGGGATACGTGATTGATGATCGGTGCCAGTGGTGCCTCAGAAGAAGGGTTCGTTTTTCACCGATTATGGGGCTGTGATGGCTCCAAGCTGATCTGGAGGGACCACGACCATAGTGGAATGGGGGCCGCAGCCGTGGCCCTGACTCAGCCTGATATCATGTTCACGAGAGCCCTGGTGGACTCCAAGAGGACCGAGTTCCTCAAGATCCTCCAAGGTGCCGAGTATAGGTGGGCTGTGAAGCCCGTGAGTGGAGTGTTAGGCGGCACTGTCTGCATCGACGGCTCCGCCTACGACGGAGATATTCGTTGGCTTTTGCGTGCTGGATGGGCGGTCGTCTCCATCAGCCCGAGTATGCAGGTGGACGCAGTGGCCTACGGGCCTTCCCCTCCCCCAGTGCAGGACGTGCCGTCCAGTGAGCTTTACGCCCTCTACATGGCGCTGTACCTCATGGGACCCAGTATCCACATCATAACGGATTGTAAAATGGTCTACGACGGGTGGAACATGGGAAGGGAGGGGACGGTAAAATCCAACAAGTGCTACGCGGAGCTCTGGCGCCTCATCTGGATGAGGATCGAGGACGTCGGAGCAAATTCGGTGAATGCGTGCTGGATGCCTTCGCATATGTCGGAGGCGGCGGCGCAACGAAGAGGCTATGATCCTCATTGGCCCAGAGGCAACCAGGAGGCGGACTCCTGGGCCAAGACAGGGTCCAAGGCGCATCCAGCAAATCATCACCTTCGGGATCGTCTGCGGCATCATCATGATCAGGTCACGCTCATCTCCAGATATATGGTGGCAGTTCTCAAGCATGTCCATCAACTGGGTTATCCTGATGTATCATCATACTCTGATCGTGCCAAAAGAGAGCCTAAGAATTCGGAGGCCCCGATTCTCGAGATAGTCCCAGATGATAAGGGTCACGTTGTCTCGCAGGCTCCTGGCGGTGGGTGGGGGTGCGGTGTCTGTGGGCTGTCGCGGGCGATTCGCTCTCGGCTGGTGCAGCTGCCGTGTCCTGGGCGTCCGAGGATTGTGTCCCAGGCCCACCCCACCCATCGTTTCTGGCAGAATGGAGGTCTGACCTGGTGCGTGCGCTGTGGAGCGTATGCCCGTTTGAAGGTCAAGAAGTTGTGCAAAGAGTGCTCGGGGAACCCCGACACTGAGTGGAAACGGAAAGCCCTGGGGATTTTGAAGCAGGGGACGGATCCCTCTAACTCTAAACTGGAGGCGGTTATCCCTGGCCCCCTCAGGCGCTGAGTTTCCGTCTCATGTAAAGGGCGGGCGTCTTGTGTTATCGGGGCGACCGCTGAGGAGCGCAAGAGCGCAAGAGGAGGAGGAGAAGGAGGAGGAGGAGGCGAAGGAGGAGGAGGAGGAACAAGAGGAGGAGGACGAGGAGGAGGGGGAGGAGGAGGAGGAGGGGAAGGAGGAGGAGGAGGAGGAGGAGGAGGAGGAGGAGGAGGACGAGGAGGAGGACGAGGAGGAGGACGGAGCGCAATCGTGGAGACCAAGTTGACGGATGACGAGAGGAGGGTGAGGCGACGGAGAGGAGGCGGCGGCGGAGGGGATTGGGGATGAGATAGTGGTTGATTCTGATGCTGATGATGATGCTGCTGGCGCTCCTGATGATGATGATGCGATTGATGCTGATGATGATGGTTAATGATGATGACGATGACGAGGTGATCATGCCATGACGGAATGACGCTCGATGGATGGTGATGCTGATGATGATGGTTGTTGGTGGTGGTGATGGCGATGGTGATGGTGTTGGGGATGCTGATGAGATTGCTGCTGATGGCGATTGGAGATGACGATGGCGATGACGATGCGATGATGATGATGATGCTGGTGATGATGATGATGATGCTGATGTTGATGTGATTGCTGAGGCTGATGCTCATGAA